ACTTTATGTGACCTTGTTTCCCACATTCATAACATGTAATGTCTTGAATTGATGTGGAATACTCCTTTTTTTGAAGTGTTTCTTTCTCTTTGCATAGTTGTAAGGTTTGTCACTTTTGTTGAAGAATTTCCCAAGTCTCTTTACAAGTAACATAAAGTTCTCGTCTTCCTCCGATGCACCATCATCTTGTCTTTCTTTTGAATCTACTTTTAGAGCAATACCTTTAGGTTTTTTTCCTTGATTTTCATGTTTCTCGAGACGTCCAAGTTCTAACTCATGTTCTCGAAGCTTTCCAAAAAGTGACGTGAAAGTCATTGTCGTGAGACTTTTCTTCTCCGAAATTGCCGTAACTTTAGGTTGCCACTCTCTTGTTAAAGATCTTAAAACTTTCAAATTTAATTCATCATTAGTGAAAGTTTTACCTAATACAATCAAATGATTGGTTAAGTGAACAAATCTTTTCTGGAGAGCAATATTTCATATTCTTGACTTAATGTGTTCAACCTTAATCTTTTAACTTCGGCGGTTCCTTCATGAGTCTCCACCAAAGTATCCCATATTTCCTTAGCCGATTTGCATTGTGAAACTCAAAAAAACTCATTCATGCTTAAAGCACTTTGCAAAATATTGATAGCCTTTTTCTCGTTTAAAACTCTTGTTTTGTCATCTTCGTCCCATGAACTTTTTATTTTAAGAGTACCTACATTATTAACAACACTGGTTGGTACATGAGGGCCAGTTTCAACGGTTTCCCAAATGTGATCTCCTTGTGCCTCTAAATGTGATCACATGTAGATCTTCCAGAAATCAAAGTATTCTCCGGAGAACAAGGGAGGTTTATTACTACTACCGTCGTCTTTAAAAACCGGATTTGCGCTAGTGGAAGTCATCTGGATCTTTGTAGGAACAGGTTACCTATAACTTGCTCTGATGCCAATTGTAATTTATGAAAGCACCTAAGAGGGAGGGGGGTGAATTAAGTGTTTAGAGATTTTTCTCGGTTTTTCGACGGTTTTAAATTTTACTTTCCTAGAAGTTTTTAAGTGATGAAATGCTATAAAGATGGAAAGTAAAGAACACCAGGAAGTATATTGATTCCCCTCACAGATCGAGAGTACTCTAGTCCCCTTTCAACATGAAAGAGATTTCACTATAATGTTAGAACTTAGACAAGACTACCTAGTCTTTCTAAACTAGACTCTAACAAAACACCAAGAACAATCCTCTTGGATTTTACAAGTTTAAAGTCCAACCAAGAAATCTTTTACAATGGACCTCTTGTATTCACAATCCGGATAACAAGGATTCTAACAAACCATATAAGAGAAACAATCCTTCTCCTTATAGTCAGCACCTAAATCCGAACAATCCTTGGAATTTTAGGATTTTACAATATTTCTGAATTTTTGAGTATGTAGATGAAATTTTGATTCATCAAGATATCAATCACAAGATCGATCTTCTCCTTTGTAACACTAAATTCTCAAGACAATAATACAAGTGTTCTTTGTATGCAAATGAAACTATGATGATTAATATGAAGGTTTATGCAAATCTTCACTTTTAGAAAAATCTGAAGAACACTTAGAAAGTTTTTGAAGATTGAGAGAAATAAGTAATTGTTTTGAATTTTTTGTAAGGAGGTAGGATGTAAAGGCTTATAAAATGGCGTTTATATTTGCATATGACACCTCTACTGAAGGTTACAAATCATGAAAGAATGTCATGGTTGATCAAACAAAACAACAAAAAATTTTATGAAGGGATGCAATAAGATTTTTGACTCTGCTTCAGTGGTAACCGGTTACTTGATTGTAACGTTAGAAAATTTGAAAGTTTTGACATGGTAACCGGTTACCTTATAGAGAGTAACCGGTTACTTCAAAACAAAATTGAAAAATGCTTAAAAACAGAGTTTCAAAATCATTTTATTGCAACCAAAAAAATACTTCTAAGGATCATGGCATAAATGAGGAATATGATGAACACTTGTATCAATGCATGAGTTTAAGTGTTATACCTATTCCTTTGAGCTTCAATCTTCATAATGCCTTGACATTTGTAGAGAGTTGATTTTTGAGCATGAGACTTGATCAATCCTTTTTGTTAATTCATCTTGTCTTTATGAGAAGCTTTGTATGTGAGTCTTCATCAAAACATCTGAGAAGCCATGTCTTCACAACGTATTCTATGAAAATGACATTTTAAGGTGAAAACATAAAAATAAATTTGAACCATTTAATTTTAAAATAAATGGTAGAGATTATGTGTCATTTTTTTCTCTCTCCTCAATTATTAAAATAAATTATAAAAGATAGCAAAAAAAAGACACATAATCTCCTCTATTTTTCTAATGATTTAAACTTATTTTCATGTTCTCGTTTAAAATTTCATTCTCATATATATATATATATATATATATATATATATATATATATATATATATATATATATATATATATATATATATATATAGTTAAATAAAAATAAAAATTTAAATATAATGTAACTGCAAAAGAATTTAAGAATAAATCCGTAGAGCAATGCTCTTTAAGAGAAAAGAAACAAGTTCTAATTTTTCCCTTCTAAATCTAGTTAAACGTAATTTTCAAATCAATCCAACAATATACAATTTCAGATTTATGGTTTATTTTTATAAGTAAAAAACTTAAATATTAGGTAATATATCACCTAAATTTGAATATTTTACAACACTACACAAGTCGCAACAACCGTAGGATCGTTTGATCAAAATTACATTATTATTATTTTTTAATTTAAGAATTAGTTATTTGTTGTTGTTGCACTGTCCGGCACTAGATCTAATCAGATCCAACCTATCTTCCTTTCAATCTCATACCAGAAAGGTAATTTGGAATCCGAAATTAGTAAATTATAACTTATTGAAAATTGATCCGTTTCCGGAATTGATTGATTAGAATGCAAAGTGTCATTTTATTTGTGTCACAAAAAGTGGTATAGTTTTATTATTTTTTTAAGTTTAAATATTTTTTAGTTATTTATTTATAGAATTTAATTAATATGCTCAAATAATATAATTAATATGATAATTTTATAATATTGGTTATTATTCTATATCATTTTCTCTGTCTAATTACAAGTCTTTAACATATATAATTTTTAATTTTAATCAAATAACAACTCACACAAAAATTTTACAATATTATCAAATATTTTACAAATCTTAATTATTAAGAGTCAAAATGTTTGTCTCATTTATGTAAAAAGAAAAAAGAAAAAGAAAAAAATAAAGATGGAACCTAACTAACATAAACATAAAAAATATACTTTGATCCTTTAACAAGGCAATTTTTTATTTCTTTTATTATAACTATAATGGATCAATTTGTTAAGAAAATATAAAAAATTACTTATTTTAATAAAATAACTTAAAAGATTCAAAATATAATTTCGTCTGTAATACTAATTTAAAACTTTAGTAAAAGAACCTACGTCCAAAAGAAGAATATTTACGAATTGTTTAATGCAGCGGTGTGACACTTTTATAGTGATAGTGCGTAATAATTGTTTTTATGTTTATTTTTAAAAACCAATTTTTTAATTAACAAAATATAACTTTAAACGAAAAAATAAAATAAAATTTGTTCATAAGAAAAAACATAGAAGACGCGGTTGCGAACCATAGTTATGGGTTGTTAGTAGCTATTGTTACCTTCCTCCTCCGCTTCCCCCTCTCTTCCCAATTCATAATCTCCAAATCCCAATTTAACCTATTAGGGTTTTCAGAGTTTCAATTTCTTCAATCATCATCACTCCACACCTTCATGCTACCACCACCACCACACAAAACACCGCGATCGCATTTCATCTCCTTTCACATTCCACACTAATCCACCGCGATCGGTACGTTTCTTTCTTCGTTCCTTCTCTCAGTGATGTCAATCAAAGCTTAAACGATTCGTTTTTTTTTGTTGATATTTTTGTGACGATACTTCAATCTCAAGTTTATAGAATAAGATTATAATTGATTTTAGTAACTTTCCCATTCTTCTGTTATTATTGCCAGGTATTTATTATTTAGAGTTGTAAGTTGTAACTGGGAACGATAACTGTTGAGGTTTATTGATTTTAATGAAGAAACGTTTATTATGAATTAATGTTTCTTTTTGTCTCCTATGGTCCTACTGTATCTGTATGAGCATGAGTGATCTATATGCTATATGCTGTTGATTTTAATATTAATAAGTTGATTTTTGTTTCCGTTGGTTTGGTTGGTGGATCTGTGGTAATGTTGCTTGCTTGTTTGCTACTTTTTGTTTACATTGCTTGGGATATACATTTGGAAATTAGGATAGAGTTTTAGGGGTTGTGTTGTGGGTGAAAGTGAAACCTGGGTATATAGAAAGGGCATGAAGATGAAGCATTTTTTATTATGTTGATTAGTTTCAGAGGTTTTGGATGAGAGTAAGGAATGAGTGTTATGGGCAGTTATGTGTGTGTGTGTGTGTGTTTTTTTTAAATGTAAATAAGCTTTTTAGTGATTTTGTTTGGTATTTTTTGTCCGAAGTTATTACCTTTTTAGAGATGATTTGGGATTAGGATCGCTTTCCGTAGTTGAATTTATTTAACTTTGGATGTGGACTTCTAATCTATGATCATGATGTCCTTTTCTGCAAGGAATATCTCATTATCTAAATTACCTGCATTTCTTCTTTCTTTCTATGAATATTCTTGCTTTGTCTGTAAGAAAGTTGTAATCAGTAACTTAGTGCCATTGCCTATTTGTCACACAATCGACATTTATTTAATTTGTTACGTCTGTTTTCCAACATGCATTTAAATTACGTGATAGTTGTTGTTATCATTTTCAAAGAAAATCAATTTGGGTTCATCTCTGGCTTTTATTTTTGTGACATCTAGGTTCAATCTTGTAATTATTATTATAACAGGTGGGTGGAGAAAAGGTGCAAAGCACGAACAAACTTCAAGATATTTAACATCAAAGGGATAGTGTCACAATGTTGGTCTCTAAAGAAATTATGAAATTCAAATCATACCAGAACCAGGCTAATTTGTTTGTGAAGGAATATTTATTAGCAGACCCTCTGATTCCATATACTTCCATTATTGGTGGCATATTTGCTTGCAAGATGGTATGTTGTATTGTACTATGTTGTCATTCTATTTTCTGTAGTACCTTTCCTGAGATAATTAAAGGTTACTATCATTAACTTACATGATATCATGTCTAAATATTCTATTTTGCTAGGTCTACGATCTCACTCAGCTTTTTAGCACTATTCATTTTAAAAGCTATTCCAGTCTCACTAAAATCCAACGTATTGAGTGGAATAACCGGTGAGTGGATTTTTTCATAGTAGAAAATCTTTTTTTTTTTTTTTTGTTTCTGATGAGATAAAATATTAAAATTTATTTATTTATACTTTCTGTGCAGTGCTATGTCAACAATCCATGCCATATTTATAACATCTATGTCTTTGTACTTGGTGTTTTGCTCAAATCTATATTCTGATAGCCAGTCAGCTGAACTTCTTACAGAACGGAGTACTGCGTTGTCTACGTTTGCTCTGGGGGTAAGAATGGTCCTTAGCATTTTTTCCCATTGTTTTCCTTTTCTTAACCTCTTTTCAAGCCACAGTTTTTGTGAACAATAATAATCACATATAATGAGGAGGGGATTTCAACAGTTGAAGTTATGAGGATTAGATAAATAAAGGGGATGATAAAAAGAAATGTGACTATGGTGAAATATCATTGATAATCAACTTTTTAGTTATACTGACTTAATACTGAAGACTAAACACTAACCCCCTATTTATAAAATACACCGGCTCGTAATCCTAAATAAATAGGGAATTTGGAAATCAGAAAATGAATCATAATAATACCAAGTAATATGAAAACCAAATCTAAGAGATACTTTAAGATACTCTAAAATGTGAAACTAAACTTTGGAAAGAAACTAAGTTACTCGAATATATTGTAACACTTCCCCTCAAGCTAAAGCTTACTAAGCTTTAAGTTTGTTACAAATATATATCGTTTGAAAGTGAGTATATAACACTCTACATAATTAGGCCCAAAATGTGTCTTGGATAAACCAATCAAGAATGGAAAAACAATCAACCAATTCAAGTTGAAGACCAAACCTGGCTAATATAACATGAACCATATGGATCCAGAATGTGTGAGTATGAAATTGACATACTAGCTCGGTGTTCTAGATTGACTGCCTTAGAATGAAAGGCTGTTGTCTTTTTTCTTATATCATACTTGTGTCTAATTGTCGTTTGTAAAAGCAATGTCAAATGTTATTATAAATGTATCAATTGTTTTTATCCCTATGCATGATTTTAAGGTCATAATGATATATTTAAGGGAAATGCTAACCAGTGCCCTCAGGGCACTTTTTAAAACTTTAAATAGTAAGTTTTTATAAAAGTATGTGCAATGATGTGTAATAATGTACATTGGAAATTGAAGTGTTTGAATTTTTTAAAGAATAATTTCTTAATATGGAATGTTTAAATAGTGCCCTGAGGGCACTGGTTAGCAAGACCCTATATTTAATAGCAGTAGTTCTCATTGTTTGGATGTTCATATTTTCTGCTAACATTTTCTCTTTTAGTAGTCCTTTCTATCTGTTATTGATAGTTATTTAAATCAACTATGGATTTGTAGTTAATGTTTTTACTGGAAAGTGGAAACACATCTTAAATCATCTGGTCATGAAGTCTTAATTACTTATGTTTTATTTTATTTACTTGACAGGTTACTGTTGGTTACTTCATGGCTGACCTAGGGATGATATTTTGGTTCTTTCCTTCTCTTGGTGGATATGAATATGTAAGGATCATATCTTTTGACGTACCATAATTTATTTAGCTGAAGATTCTTATTCAAATTTAAGACTGTTCACTCTATAGGAATCCAGCTGGAGATGATTTAATGTGACTTCATATTAACATTGATTCAGGTGATCCATCATATGTTTTCGTTAGTAGCAGTAGCCTACTCAATGTTGAGTGGAGAAGGGCAGCTGTACACGTACATGGTCCTCATTTCCGAGACAACCACTCCCGGAGTCAATTTGAGATGGTAATTTTGCACTTAAACTTGAACTCCAATATTCGATGAAATATTCGTTTGTTGATGTGTGTATTTTGTTTGTGAAGGTATCTTGATGTAGCCGGAATGAAAAGGTCAAAAGCTTATCTCATCAATGGGGTTGTAATATTCATTGCTTGGCTGGTAGGTCATGCCATTGCAGTTTGAAATATACTTTTGTCACTCTTCGTAAATCAAATTTGATTTTGACTTCCCATTCTGGTCCTCCGGGACATTCTTACCGAAATGGCCTATCTGCAGGTTGCCAGAATACTTTTGTTCGTTTATATGTTTTACCACGCTTACTTACACTTTGATCAGGTAATAACTTCTGACACACGGAGTTTATGAATTGTCTTGCGTCTTTGATGCTTTGTAGCAGACAGATCTTTCTACTGAAATTTTGGTCTGGTAATGCAACTGCATATTTGCTTCCATGATAACTGACACAGAACTTGGATCCGTTTGTTGTCTAAAAGATCACTTTCTCAACATCTATTTCAGTGATTATCTATATAGGAGTAATATATAATGGTTTATATATTTTATAATTTCTCATCAAGCCAAGTCTGCATGTTAAATATGAGGATCTCATGTCATTATTCAATTATTCGACAGGTTCAGCAGATGCACCCCTTTGGACAAATACTAGTTGTTGTTGTGCCAGTGGTGCTGTCAATTATGAACTTGATTTGGTTTTCAAAGATTATCAAAGGGCTAATGAAGACATTGGCAAAGAGGCAGTGAAAATTTTGAGGAAAATTAAATATAGGTTACACTGTTGATATCCAGCTCACCTTCCACTATGTTCTCTCTCTGTCTCTCTCTCTATCTCTCTCTCTCTAGGTTAAAACATACATGTTGTGTACTGAAAGATGCAACAGAGCAGAAACGGACATGTTTGGATCCATTTTAGATCTGAACTTATATTGTATAAATATGTTAGTTCTGTTTTTTCAATGCCCCCATTCTTTATGTACATTTATTAGTTAAATTTAATCTTTATATACATCTATGTAATCCAATTCCAAATTCTGTCAAGTCGTATACTCTAAGGAGGCACCCTCCAAAGCACACTATTTCTTCTCTGTCTTGCTTCCATTCTTCTTTGTTTCACCAACTATGTAATGTACACCCTTTCACTGGCCCATCTCACCACTATTATTTCATAGGTAAATTTCAACCCCAATTTACTATATCTCTCAGTTCAGCTTATCCTTCCATATGCTTAAAAGCTCCTTACTGATAAAATATTTCATTTACTCACGGCACAGTATTTGATATCATCAAAGCATAACTGTACAAATTCAATGACACATAAGATCCATCCACTGTTTTCAGCCTAGGCTGTCAATCTTGGATAGTTGCCGGTCAAAAGTAGGATATAATATACCATGTGTGCATTACGGAAATTTGATATTTTTTTGACAAATTTGATATTTTTTTGACAAATTAAACGAGGTGAGAGACCCTATTGATGAACAATGTTCTTAAAAATAAGTTTTTGATGAGTGTGATCATGTGAGAGATGATCGTTGATAAGTGTTGTGCTTAAGAGTGTAGTGATCTGTATGGTTTAAAATCTGTTGTTCTTTTACATAGGAGATGTATTTATAGAGAGGTCTTTAAGATCTATTGACCCCGACTTCTCTCTGACCCAGAAGCGTCTTATCTCACGTTTTCCATTACTGATAAATAGAAAAGTCATGGGGCGAGGCGATATATCATTTTAGGCACATTCCAACGTTTCCTCTTAGAGAGCGGTCTAAAGGCATCGTCCAAAGCGAGGTCCTTTATATTTATAACACTAGAAAAAACAAAGGAAAAGGTAGAATCATTTCTCTCGTTGGTAAGTGCAAATTTTGACTTTTTTACTGTTCAGTCCCAAGTCTGGAAAAAATTCCCAATATGCCTCATTTAATAATGATTGTCTGTTCCACATCTGGTGTTCTTTTTCGTTCGCTTTTCCTTGCCCAACTCTTAATTGTGATGTGTTGCAAAGGGTCTGCAAGTGTTGTAAGGGGTCCACATCCATACCAAGAAACTCTTGAATGTTATAATTTGGCATATTCATAAGTTGTTCATCCGTGAGCAAAAAGTTTTGAAATGAATGTGATGATTGTGTGTAGGTTGTTAGAACAAAATTTGTTCATGACATATATTTCTTAGGTTTTGATGATAACAAAATATTAAAAGAACGATGGTTATATTTGATGTGTGTTTTTTGTATGCAGTTTCTAATACTTGTAAATATATATATTCAGAATCTGATATACAAAGACACACTTGAGAGAAACTGAATTGCTAGATTCTGGTGGTGTAGAATCTGAAGAACACTCTCTAAGTGATGTCGGACGTAAACTCTGAAGTTTTAGGTCTCAACATCAGAAGAAGCAATATTATTGTCTCTACACTTGATGAATATAAATTGGCTTCTGGTGATCATTCAAAGTTAGTAATAAAGTTGAAACTATTCATACTGCAGAAAATAAGTTGCATTGTCAAATCAGTTTGTCAGCTATAGTCTTAATTCATAAGCCTCAAGAAAAGTTGACATACTTTATGAATATCTACTCTCAACGCCTCTATAGTATAAGATCTCTTTGAAGACTCAATGGTTAAACATGATACACAATGAATTAAGATCTTTTGGGTATATATCTTCAACGTCTCTTGTAGTATGGAAAAAGCAAAGACACTTGATCAAGTTATCTCTCCAATGGCCAGTCTTCTGCAAATGATATATAAGTAGCTGAAGGTTCAAACTGAATCTTTAACAAGGATCAACCTGATGGAGGAGTAACAAGATCAGCAATTATCAACACAAACGGTTATACAAAATTTTTGTTGTAGGTTATAATTGTAAAAACCTAAGATTTCTTAGACATTGAATATCTTAGAAATCTTAAGAGCTTTAGGTCTTTGTTATAGTGATTTTCCTGTACCTCTGATATTTGTATCAAGTACACATTGTTCTCTATGATGCTGAACATGTTTTTTAGCAGTTTAGGTCAAAGTCTCTCGCCAAGATGCTTGAGTCATGTAAGTGTCATGCTATGTGCTAGAGCAATGAAAGTCTTAATCAAGTGGACTGATTGAGTAAATTCAAGTCTCTCTCCAAGATGCTTGAGCCATGTAAGTCTTATGTTATGTGCTAGAGCATTGAAAGTCTTAATCAAATAGATAGATTGATTAGGAAGTCTCAGTTCATGGAACCTGAGCAGAAGTCTTGGGGCAGAGTGGCTTGGACAAGAAGTCTCAGTTTGTGGAACCTGAGCAGAAGTCTTGGGCCAGAGTGGCTTGAGCAGGAAGTGTCGGTTCATGGAATCTGAGCAGAAGTCTTGGGCCAGAGTGGCTTGAGCAGGAAGTCTTGGGTCTGAGAGACATGAGCAGGAAGTCTTGGGTCTGAGAGACATGAGTAGGAAAGTCTAAGGCTGAGGGTATAAGTAAAAAGTCTTTGGTCTGTAGGACTTGAGCAAGGAAGTCTTGAACCATATGGGTTTAAGTAAGAAGTATTGGGCTTATGGTCTGAGCATTGTAAAAGTCTTATGCAAAATGCATAAGCGATTGTAATCATGATTTGGTTATAGTGAAAATCTCTTGTGAAGCAAGGGGATTAGACTACTCTCAGTTGGGAGGAACCAGTCTAAATCTTTGTGTCTTCTGTTATTATTTATTTGCTTCTGTTAACATCTGTTTCTAAGTATAATCAAAATCTGAACATCAGTTTAGATTCTGAACTCTGATCAAACGCAAAGTAAGAAAACAGAAAACACAATTCAACCCCCTTATTGTGCACCTTTTCTCATCTTCAATTGGTATCAAAGTCTGGTTTGTAGATAACACTTAACAGTGGTGCAGATAATGATTCAATGAGAAATGTATGTCTGTTAAAGACTTTCCTTCAAGAAGGAATCAAGTGCCACATGAAAAATATTACATTGCTTTTCCTATTATATTCAAAGAATGATTCTGGTAAATTTAAATGATGGAAAAGTTAAATATAGTTTTAATTCATTGGACTTGATAAAGGGTTTGTGAAGATCGGTAGAATACCCTTGAAAAAAGGTATTACTATAGAAGTTGATGGTGCAGGGATGATTAAAATTTGAAAGTCTCTCTCACCAGCTCAGAAGAAACTTATTGAAAATATCTTCAGAGGTAGATGCATTTTGGTAGGTGCTCTATCTCGATTCTGAGTATATTAACATCATTGATACGTCTAATGCTCAAACTATATTTGAATCCTTGTGATCAGATTTATGGGAATCAGTTATGAAGTTTGTCTAGTTACACTTCATCTAATCTTTCCAAGAAAATTCTGAGAAGATTGTTGTGAATTCAAACTCGAAGTCACAGTTACTCAAGAAGTCATAACAACTTGAACTTACTATGGCTTGCAGGTTTATCTTGCAATCTTCAAAGAAAAGAAATGGAATTAGATGATGAAAAGCTATCTAACAGATTATCTTTTCTAAAGCCCATTTTGATGATGAGAAATTAACCTTCTTAATCAGAAGATTTCTTTAACTGACTGAATGGAACGTGACATCTGTTGTTAGAAGAGTAACTTCAGAACCTTCTAAGATATTTGTATTTCAACTTGTTTCTCAAATCCAAGAACAAGGAGAAACACTACCAGAGCCTAATGTCATAGATATTCATTGTATATTCATTTGAAGATGACATTAGTGCAGGATTCAGAAGAAAGACTAATCTGGGTCTGCCAATCATTGCTGCTTCTGAAAAAGCATATGAATCCTAAAATAAAAATCAAATATTGAAGAGAAAGATATTATGCCAAATCTATCTTACTTCAATATTTGATAATAAGGAGTCTGCTCTTTAAGGTGACATCTTAAGTGACTCTATTTCTCCTTGATTGAGGGTCATCATGGAATTTGTATTAAATGACAATTCCATGAGAAACCTTCAATTCTTCTTCGTGTTCTTCTATCAATTACATGACAGTGCTTTAGTTTGTTTCATGTTATTCTCTGATAGCTGACACGATCTAGTTCTTTGCTTATCAAAGTTTTCAAAGTCAAAAGTCAATGTTTCTGCTAAGAACAAGATCTTATTCATATCAAGACTCATCCTAGACTAATACTCTGGAATTAATCATGGTACTGCTATCAAAATGTGGCATAAGATAAAGGAAAGCCTTTTTGGACCAAAATGTGTGGACTCATAGAAATATGAGTATCATTATTCAAGCCCCTTCATGCATATCTGCCCTGTGAGCTTCTTGCTTAGGCAAACCCCTCATCCTTTTGCATGTTTGCCTTATGAGACTCAAGCTTAGGCAAACACTCTTTTCTTGTAGGTATTGATCCCAGGATCTAGGCAAAATCCTACAACCTTTCATTGGCTAATCACCATTTATTGGTTAAATGCCACACTTCTGATTTAGACATCTCTTTATGGGTTCAAACAACACACTCTTGGTCCAAATAGCACCTTAACAACACCTTCACCATTTCACAAATATTCCACCATTTCATTCGCAAACTCTTTTGAATTTAATTAAACAACAATTTCTTTTCATAAAAGAACTGTTGTAATTCGTTCCTTAGTAGTCAGACTAAAAGCTTAGAGCATCCAAAATAGGATCAAATCGGCTAACGTCAAAAAACTTCTAGGATACAATTATAATTTTCCTCCTAAAATCAACCAACAAACACTTATTTTCTATCCACGAACTACGGAGCTCTGATTTTCTCATTGCACAATGAGAAAACATAGGC